GCTTGTTTAAACCATACTTGAATCTTGCTCTAACTTGTTGGAACCATGCTTGAATCTTGCTCAATCCTTACTCGATCCTTATTAGAATCATGTTTAAAGTTTCAACAATATTTGAACAAGGTTTGAGCAGGATTTAAATTAGGTTAAATCATGGTTTAAATAAGGTTCGAGCATAGTTCTAACATGGTTGTAACAAGTAATATGATGTATTGGGCTTATGATTTAGTGTGCAAACAAGGTTTGGAATCCTTATTAGGAGTTTATACCTTCTTTAAATAATGACCTATGATTACTGAGAATGATTATAATGAAATTTAAATAGTAAAAATATAACACCATTAACTTTGTGTATGTGATGGTTGAGAAGTCAAGAACATCATTGCAATGTTTAAAAACCAACTGATCACATGAGCTCTAAAGTTACTCATATAGAGAATATATTAGAGAGATGAATTTTTCTATAACTTGGTGTCATAAGATTCCCTTGATTCACGGCTAAAATTATGACTCCTCCTTAGTAAAAATAGGTCATAATCTAAGTAATGTTTTTCCCTACTGTAATAAAGGCAAGCATCTTAGTAAAAATAACATCATTCTTATAATGATTGAGAAGAACATCATTTATAATATAACATAAACCTAACATTCATATTTTATATGTAACAATAGAAATTTTTGAAATTAATTGAAAAATGAAAAAATATGAATTCATGATTGAATTGCAGAACAGCGGAGTGAAATGAAGAAAGTCGAATTTTAGCGATTGGATAAATTTATCACTTTTGTAGAGATTGCTCATATCATTGTATGTGATTATAATCCTATCTCAATTTAAAAATATTTTGATTTTAACTATTTGAATCTTCTCATAATTGATTTTATTGCATTTTTTTTAGATTTATTGAACTTTTATCACACAATTTTTACTATTTTATCATACTAATTATCCTATACATTTTGACTGTAACATTTATTAAACTTCATTATGTAAAATAAAAGTTATTGTATTATGTATTAATTTTACATATTAAATAACTTATATTTTTACTGTAATCATAATTTTAATACAAGAATTATAAATAAATATGGATATAATGTTAAGTAATAGTTAGTCGTTATTATTGATATAAAATATGATAATAATATATGTGAGGATAAGTAACAACTGATTTCACTGATGTTGGTTGGATATTGATTGACCTGTAAAGGATGGTGGGTCAATGAACTTTTCTTAAAATACTAAAATTTGATGTTATTCTCTATTGATTCATGTGATACTGATTGAGAGTTATAAGAAGATGATTACTATGCCGATGGGCAAAGAGTTATGCCTCTATTTACTGAGCCAACAAAATACTTATATCGATTATTATTTATTAGAAAAACACCAATTAAACTAGGAATTCTTATTTATTTAGTGTGACTATTAAAATACATGTTATTGATTCACTGTTACTGTTATTGTACAATTTTACTGCTTTATTGTTTGTTAATTTACTATCATTGTATGGGTTTATTGTTACTTCATTGTTTTACTATTAATGTCACCATTTTATTAACAACACTATACTGATACTGTTACCGATAGGGAAATCGATACTATTTGATACAACAATTAATTCACCATTACTGATATTGATTCATTGTATTGATACCAAACATGTGATATACTGAGCACGTGATTAAGAAATTGATTTGATACTACTATAGAATATTTGGATAGTTTGTGTACACTACTATCTAATTTTACTATATTGATATGATTTTGATAGTATTTATCAATGCTTTGGTTTTACTTCTTTATATAATTTTTTTACTGATTGATAGTACTGATATGATGACCGCTTTTTTATTTTACATTCATATTGGTTTAATGGTTTCTCCTACATACTGCTTTACTAGCTTATGTACCATAATAGTTTATTGTTTACAGATTCTACTACTTATACATGGGTGTTTTATTATTTCTGCATCAATTTAAGATCATATGACTACTATTATGAATTTATTGATGACATTCATACCGTTTATTTACTGTGCTTTCAGTCAGTTGTAGGATTAAATGACATGCTGTACCTTTTAACTCATTATATGTGATTTATATAATTTCAGTTCAGGGTAGATGATCATATGTGTGAGATTTATAAGATTAGAATTCTTCAGGTTTAGTGTTTTATTTTTGTCCTTTAGCTAATCTTTTTTACTCAAGATTGATGATGATAGGTTACAATTGTATAATTCATGAGTATTGTATATAATTTTAGAATAAGAATACAGATGTATTTTGATGTTTTGATTGCTAATTTTATTTTAGTTGATATTATATTAATAAAATAAAAATAGATAGCTCTGGTGTTGATTTTAAAAAATAAAAAGAATATTTTTTAATTTTTTTTCTTGGGACATTACACTATCCCTCTCAAAGCAAAACATGAATGCTTTCTAAAGTCTACATTCTAAACATTTTTATCTCCATCTAAGTAGCTATCTATATGCCCAATACTTTTACTTAATTCCTTGGATTCCTTCTCAAATAGAAATTCTCCAAATCCCTACAAAATAATAAATGCAAATTTAATAATTTTAAAATTTGCATTTTTTCTGTAAAAGTTTAAATACATTAGAGTATCTCTCATTCTATTACCATCCTCAGTAATAGTAATGAACTAGAGCTCTAAAAAACTACAACTTATGAACTTTGACAAGCTACCTAACAGTGGATTTTTGCAATTCCTCTCATAAGATTAAATGCCTCAAGCTATCTAACAATTTTATCCATTACTCACAACTCTATATAGGATTTTAGCAATGTAATATCTCTCCATATATATGATTAGAGTGGTCATACGTATACATAGCAAAACATCTCAAATGGATCAATTCAATATATGATACTGAGAACAAAACAAAAGGTTTCAAACAATGTTCAAAGCTTGTTTAAACCATACTCGAATCTTGCTCTAACATGCTAGAGCCTTTCTTGAATCTTGCTCAATCCTTACTTGATCCTTATTGGAATCATGTTTAAAGTTTCAACAATAATTAAACAAGGTTTGAGCATGATTTAAATAAGGTTCAATCATGATTTAAATAAGGTTTGAGTATAGTTCTAACGAACTTTTATTCGGTCCGGTGAACGTACGCTCCTCTACGTTCGGCCACCAATGTTTTAGCGCCACGTAGCATGAAAAAAAGTCGCCGACCCGACCCGCTGTTTTTTGGGTTCTCGCACGTGCGTTTTTTTAAATCCTTGACGAGCCGAACAACATCCCATCAATGATTTAAATAAGGTTCGAGCATAGTTCTAACATAGTTGTAACAAGTAATATGATGTATTTGGCTTATGATTTAGCATGCAAACAAGGTTTGGAATCCTAATTATGAGTTTATTCATTCTTTATATTATGACCTATGATTACTGAGAACATGGGCGGATCCCAGGCTTAGTGAGGGTGGGCAAATGCCCATGCTGAAAAAAAAAAGTTCGAGGGCATTTTTGAAATTTTGCCCCCCCCCCCCCTAAAAACACCTTTTTGCCCTAAAAATTTCATAATTGCTATAGTTTACCCATCCTGCCCCGTTCCCAGAATAGCAGCCACCTTCGTAAGAGCGCCCCTTATTATCAATTGCAGCCGTCTCATTCGTAACTTCACAAGAAATCGTTTTCTCCTTCTTGAAAAGGTTGCCACAGCCCGCGCCCGACATCCTTCATCTTCGAGAATCTCATGTTTCCATTCCTCGGTTAAGCATTCAGCAATGTAATTTTTATTAAGCTATCACACTTCTCATTTCATTTTTTTAAAAATTTTGGCATTCATAGCAGTATGGAAATTACTCATTTTAGTTCTTACAAGCCGGAGCCGTGGATCTTACAAGCATAAAAAGCAAAAAATATATAACTCTCTTCTCACCAAAATCCTTTTTTCTCTCCCTCGTGCTCTCTCTCTCTCTCTCTCTCTCTCTCTCTCACCGCTATGGCGCTACTTCAAAGTAGCTTTCCATGCTTTCTCTCTGAAACTAAAGGAAGGAGAGAAACTAAAGCGACTGCAAAAGATCAGCCCATCTTTGTCAAGAATCTTGAGTGTGTGTGTGTGTTTTTTTTGGTAGAAGAAGATTGAAGAAATTGAAATAAGTCTCTTGTTTAGTTTTCCCCCAAACAATTCTTAAAGCAGAGCTCTCTTTGACAAAATCAAATCATTTTTAATTGTTTTAAGACTCCACCCAATTCATTGTTACTGGCAAGAGGTCTAAAAATATTACTAGTAGTTATACTTAATTCATACTCTTTGAATGGGCATCTTTTGAGTTTGTCACCCTAAAAAAATAGGCTGGATTCACCACTGACTGAGAATGATTGTATTGAAATTTAAATAGTAAAATATAACAACACTAACTTTGCATATATGATTGTTGAGAAGTCAAGAGCATCATTGCAATGTTTTACAACCAATTGATCACATAAGCTCTAAGGTTATTGAGTTAGAGAGACGAATATTCGTATAGCTCGCAGTTTTAAGATAATTCTAATTCATGGCTAAAGTTATGACTCCGTTTTATATAATATGGTAATTTCATTCGAAAGTAAATTTTAAATATATATTTTTTAGAAAATAAATAATTTAAATATTTGATTAATTATATCTATTGTGAAATATATAAAATCATTAAAAAAAAACATAAAGTCTACTTTCTCTATCTAATTTTAATATCTATGCAAAATTTTTTTATACTTCGAAAAGCGTTTTTAAAAATGTCGGGCCTTAGTGATCAGCACCGTGGAATATATTCGCTGAGAGTCGCGATCTCTCAACAAATTTAGGTTAAATCGGAACACGCTTGTCGGTTCACGTCTGGAGAAAGAAGAAGAAAACGAAGAAGCAGAACACATTACACTTGTCTCTACTTTCCTGGTAATCATCCTTTACTTACTACGTATAGTGTCAGCTCCTGTTTTCGTTTCAGCTGATTTGGGGCTTTTTGAGAAATATTCCGCGGTGCAGAGATGGCTGAAGATCAGAAATCTTACCACTTTGATGAGGTCTCGAAACACAACGCTACCAAGGATTGCTGGCTTATCATCCATGGAAAGGTCTTTCCTTTTTTAATCTTTAGAATTTTAGTACAGTAATTAAAATGACAGTCTTTTAGGACTGTTGGTTCTAAAGTAAGACTTAAGTGAAATATGGTAAAGTAAATATTGTAGATCCGGATTTATCATTTTTTTTTTTTGGGATTCTTAAATGCTGAATTTGTTTGATATCTTGGAGTCCTGAATCCCTTAGGGGCTGTTTGGCAACGGGATTTATGCAGGATTTAGCATAAATCCTGCCAAACAGCATTGGAGAGTCCCATACATTTCAAGATTAGATAAACCTTCCTTACCAAATTTTTATTGTAAATCTTGGATTTACTAAATTTTTAAGTAATATGTAAATAATTAGTTATTTTAAAAGATAATTAAAAGTTTAATTAGTTAGTAAATACTTATTAAAATAACATTTAAATAAGTAATTAGATAATTAGTATTTAAATCATTAATTATATAATTTGATAACTAAGCTGACTTTCAATTAGATTATTTATAATTATAATTTATTGATAATAATTCAAATTGAAAATAGTAAATAACTCGTATTTAAAATGCAAATAAAATTTGTATTTTTATTAAACTAATTGCCTTAAATCTTGAGTTACATTGCCAAATGGCCTCATAGGATTTATCAGGATTTAACAATTTTTTTTGCCTAATAGTTTTTAGGATTTAACATTAGTAGGATTTACTAAATCTGTAAATCCGGCTAAAGTTAAATCCTACTTGTATCCGAAGAGTCCCTTAAAGCCTAGACCTTTAAATCCCTTTAATATTGCTATTGATAGGATTTTATAAATATGGATTTCGGGTAATCCTTGATTTATGAAATCAAGGATTCAATAAAACCTTAAAAAATGGTTTGGCTGGATTTGGCTTAGACTTTGTCTGAATATTGGATAAATCTTGATATCAAATTTTATACTTTATGATTTGGGTTTATTAAAAGAATTCATGAGGCACCTGATTTAGAGAATGACTGTTTTTTGGATCAAAGGGTTTTTTGGATCAAAGGGGGAGTGGAAAATGATGATGATTGATGAATGTATTTTTCATCCTTCTTTTTTGCATGAAAGAGGTGGTTGTTGGAGCTGGGTGCTGGTAGATATTAGTATTTTAATGCTTAATAAATTTGTTTGAACAAGCATATAATTGCATGTTACTTGAGAATTTTTTTCTAAATTGACTTGATAAACAAACTATAGAAAAGATAGAAAATCTTATGCTATCATACATTCATACGAGGTACCCACCATTTTTCTTTTCAATGGGTACGTTTTGAAGGTCATAATTGTCATTAAAACATTTTAGCTACTTTGACTACATATTATTTACATTTAGAGTGAACGATGTCCTACATCAGAAGCAAGAATATTCTTGTGTATTGATTATATTTTTTGCATTGCTTTTTTGTGGACTAAACTACCCTATAGAAGTGCATAGGTGTACGCTACTAGATCATGAATTGAGGATAATTAAATTTCAAATATAGGGAAGTTCATTTAGGTTGACTTTAAAATGTACTAATCTATTTCCTCAAAAATTTATTTCTTGAAACTCTGAACTTTCATCTTTGTGAAATAAGTGACTTGCTAGCTTTACATTAGTTATGTGAATATGATTAAGGAGAATTGTGTAGAGTAGTTTGTCTCTTGGACGCCCAACTTAAAGATTAGTGCTCGCTGACAAATTGTTAAATGCAAAATGTTGTGCAAAATGATGAAATGCCAAATTAATTTAAATATATGTATAGGAGTGAAACCTTAAGGACGATATATGCTAGGTTTTGATCATTAGCACAACATTAAAAAAAAAAAAAAAAAAAAAAAAAAAAAAAAAAAAGAAAAAAAAAAGAAAAATAACAATTGCAGGATCTACATATAATTGAAATTACTTTATTCCATGATTGAATATGTGATGGAAAACATCAACCGTAAGGATGGAAAAGATGGTGATTATGCAAGAGATGATATTGTCAGTTCCTAACAAATCCAGAAGGATCTCAATTTTTGCATCTTTGATTATCAGTTGAAATCAGAATAACACGAAGAGCAAAGAAAGGGATAAAATAGTGGCTAAAAAAAAGGTAACCAAACCAAATCAATGCTCCCTAACCTTAAGATGGTGATGCCACAAGATATGAGATTGTTTCATCTTCATAAATCCTTGAAGCTCATGCTCGTGACTAAATCATGGTTGTAGATGCTTTGATTATCAATTGAAATCACAATTATATAAAGAACAAAGGGTGAAAAAAAAAAGATACTTGAGCCAAATTAATTTTTTCATGATTTACCAGCTGCTTCAAGCCTCAAAATTGGCCATGGAAAGTGATCGCTCAAGAAGAAATCAAAGGTTAATCTTAGCATCCCTAGGGTCGAAGACGAGGCTCTTATAAGCTAATACAATAACAAAGAATAAGATCAGATTGTCCCTCCCAAAAAAGAAATTGATGCCAAGCAAATGACCAAAATTGTGGTTCATTAAAAAGGAGAGGGCAAGTTACACTTCAAGTTTGATGAAAATACCCCAGCTTTTGTTTCATCCTCTGGATTCGTTAACCCATAGATGTACAAAGTGAATACATTGACCAATGTTCAAATTCAATGCAAGAGTTTCTCATGACCAATATTCACTCAGAAATACTTTTAGTGATCCACTTACTTGATCAGTGATGTTCTGCATCATATTGCCACTAATATAAATGATCTTGTGATGTGCAATTGTGAAATGCCCCGTGTATCAACATGAAGCATTCACACTAACATGCTAAAATGTTATTTCTTAGACATTATAATTTCACTTTTGGAACATTAATTAAGAACAGCTTAACCTTTTGTTCTTCCATGCACCTTTTTTGGAGCTTTGGTAAGATGTGATTTGTATTGTATTCTTTGTCATTGTGGATGCCTTAGTTTTTGTTGTCAAAGCCTGTATTGGCTCTGAAAAGCCTTCCTAAAATTGATTTATGTGGTCAATCGTATGTTTATCATATTTTCTATTAGCAATCATAGTTAAAGAAGCAGAAAACTAAGTTTTATTATTGAATACACTCGAGTAAAGTGGAATAATTGGTAACTGCTGCACAAGCATATCATATTTGAGTTTAGTCTACATATGTGTGTTTGTAAATGCATTACAAAATTTTTCTTTTTTGTTAAAATCTGTAGTATTTTTTCCATGGACCTTTCATCTCATCTAAGACAGGAGAAAAAGCGGTGTTACAGGCTTCAAGAAGGTTCATTTTCTTCTATAAAATATTTTTATCAAGATAATATTTACATCAACCAAAAAATGAACTCCAAGGGAGCAAGTGATTTTTTAGGAAAAACAAGTATGCTTGTAGTACGTGAAAGTGGTAATCATTGTATATATCTGGAAGACTTATTGGCATGTGTCTGTTGGTTAAGCAGTTGGTTTACCGCCCAAACATTATTTGTTTAAAACCAATGAGAGCAATTCTTGTCATTTAAATGGAAATGTGTGAGGTCATAGTCTTGGTGGTAATGGTCATCTGTTTTTTTATTAGGTAAGAAGCTTAGGTGAACATGCACTTATAATTAAACATCTCTTTTAATAGCTTGTGGTTCCCATAGATGTTCTCATTGATTTTGATTTGTCTAACAAAAATTATTTGAATCATTTGCTGAGCTTATTTTATGATCCAGATACCTTGTTGGGATATATCAGGATTTGACAGAAATGTATCCTGGTGAGAAGAAAAGACTTAGTGATAATTTTGCACATCCAGATGCAATTAGTGATTGCAAACTTGTTCTAGGCTCTTAAAGAATATAAGTATGGTTTATTTAAATTTTCCAACCAAGTTGGTATATTGGGGAATTTTGGTCAATAACCATGAAGATGAAAGTATTGTATAAAGGGTATGTTTTTGTAAGCTGCAATTTGTTGCATTAGATCTGATTTATATTGGTGGAAAATTGGATTACTAGAAAAGGTGCGTGCTATATGTGAATGCATTTGAGTTTGAGAAAGAGGGAGGTGGGGGCTGGTGGGGAAGAGAAGAAAGTTGAGTTGTAATTATATTTTTTTTGGGTAAGTGTGGCTAAGTATAAATTTTAGCCACGTTTCTTTCGGTAAAGTTTGAATTAAGATTCGTTTAACCATTAAAATTCTTATGTTCATGTCTTAAAGTAAATGTGATCAGTAAGTGCCTCCATTCAAAATTGTTTTTAGTTTATATGAATTCTTAGTGAGATTTAGCATAGGTTTCATGTTGAGCCAACATTCTCAAAAGAATGAGGGTTCACTTCTCTTGAAGTAATGCATCTTGTGTTCTTTTTTTCCCCTTCCAAATATTATGGTTTCTTTCCAACGTCTTTTTTTGCCTTGAATGGATATTGGATGCTTAAAAAATGTTAGGATAGTGATAAACTTTAAGCAAAATCAAACAAAGATGATATAACAAACAAAACAAAGATTATAAATATAAGGAATACAATTTTACATTTGTCTTTTTGAGGTCGCACAGATCATATATTCTATTCTTTGCATATAAAGTTAGCGATTAAGTTGGATATATATTGATTATTTTGAGGCAATTCCGCTACCTATGCTAAAAGAAAGGTTGGACATGAAGAGGAAGATTGTTTGTTGCTGCTGCACTCTTCTCTTCTCTTCTATTCTCTTCTTTATTGCAGAAATCTAAATGAAAGCTTTTGAAGCACCTCATTCTTGAAGAGTAGAAGATCTCCTTTATGCAAGCACTTGAAAAAAAGCTCTTCCCTTTGTTTTCTCAGCTGGCAACCCGTCCCCACTTTCTTTCCTCAATTTCTCTCTGTGTTTGTTGTTGTGGGATGTCAATCACCTTCTTTTAAAACTTTATTTTTCTTGTTAACAATATATGCGTTTGGTGACATAAAATTAATTATAATAATTTATTTGATCTCTTAAGGTTGGCAAATATATTTGAAAATTAAATATTTGCAATAAATAGATCACAATTATAACTTATAAAGATTTGATGGGATAAATTTGACTCCATAAATGTAGCAATGTCATGGTTATAGCCAAAAAACTTTTGATGTACTGTGTGGTGAGTGTCCAAATTACTCTTTGTGAGCCATTCTCAAATTATCATTTATAAAGGTTAACCAAGACTTCATAAAGCCTTAGTGTTGTGAAACTAGGAATTGTTTTTTTAGAAATTAATAAAATTTGTTGGAGCAATGATAAAATAAATTTAAAGCCTCTCAAAATTGAAAACTCAAGAAAGATCTAAGAAGTCAACAATGCATTGGCAATCCGTTACAACTAAATTTGTAAGTTCCTTAAAATAACAACTTAAGCAAACGTAATGAAATGATTAGACAACTAGAATCCGACGGTTAACAAAGTAATCGTCTCACATTGAGGCTCAAAGTCACTCTTCTACTTCTAGGATTGATGGAGGAAGAAGAACCATACGAGAAACGAGATCACTCCAAGGTAGACAGCGCAGACGATCCGTAGTGGTGGTGAGGGAAGCGGCGGCGGTGAAGGTGGGGAAGTGGGTGGATGTCCGTTGATGGTCCAGTCGTAGTCTTGGAATTGGTCGTCTATGACGTCCACGAGAGTGGGAAGGATGCGGTTCAAATAATCTTCAACCGTGTCATCGGAGCCAAATCCGACGTCGAAGAACGGTGAACGGGTGAGGTGAATGTCTTCGTAGATGTCGAAAACCAATCCGGTTTCAAGCTCGGGATCTGCCATGCATCCTTGCCGGAAGGGAAGAAACACAAAGAGGGGAATAGGGAGAAAGGAGGTGGCGGGTTGGAGGAGGAAGGTTGGATTGGCTTGGGTACTTGAGAGGATAGACTAGAGAAAGGCTCCAAGAAATAAAACTGAAAATTTCTGAAATTATTTCAGTTTTATTTGAGTGGGAGGGAATCAATTTGAAGGTTTCAAATTAATTACATGAAGGATTGAGGGGGGCGGCAATATGGAGAAGTTTGGGGCTGATTTAGTGGAGCTAATAATGGAATTTGGGGAGAGAGAGGGCCCATTAAGGGGGCAGGCCACATGAATAGGAGAGAGGGGCTTGAGTTTTAATTAGGTGGGGACCACAATCTTAATCACAGATTTAACAAAAATATGAAATTTTATTTCAGATTTCTTAAGAGGAGAAAACTTCCTAATATGAAGACAATCAATTGGATCAATTTGCATTTCAAATTTGAAATTGAAATTCAATTAAATTGATTGCATAAATTAGGTCTAACAAAGTTGATCAGTAGTGCCCCATTCAAAATTGTTTAGTATAAATCTTAGTGAATTAGCATAGGTTATCATGTATAGTAACTTCTCACGAGTACTTCTGGAGTAGTAATGCATTGGTTCT